GCTAGGAAATACTCTGCTTAGTGCCTGCCTGTGAGCATGGACGGCTCCAGCCACAAGCAATTAGTGCAGAGCTAATGGGTCAATGCTTGTGCTGTATCAAAAAGGATGTGGTATGTGGGGATGCTGGAACACCGGGGGGAAAATTAAAGTTGGGACGATAGAAGGGGACATGATGCTGAATTTGGCTTTGGTGGAACTGGTACGGCCTAAGAGTTTTTCTTCTTTTTTATTTAAGAAACAAACAAACAAAAAACAAGGTTTGAGATTGCTCTTGTGTTAATGGGACAGATACAACCAAGGAGGGTTTGAGGCTACAGAGCTGTCTAAATAAATTTTCTTGTACTTTGGGTATTGGTCAGATCCTGCTCTCAAAAAATGGCCTCAAAGCGCTGGAGAAGCCCTTTGTAAAAGTCCTGGACTTTCGCACAGGTATTGCCTCCAATGTGGCCTTAATGCATTGAGACACAGGGCTTGTTCCTAATTCAGCTGCCACCCACTGATCTGTGGGGCTCAATCTCAATCACAGGCTTAAAAGCTGAACGCTTTGGGCTGCACTGAGCTGAGGAAGGGCCACTTCCCTTTATCCTTTTCTTTTGCTTACAAGTGGCAGCTGAAGGGGTGGGGACTGCAATGGGATCCCAGCTCAGCTTAGTGTCTGCCCCAGATGCTCCATGTGTGATGCTTTCAGTCTGGATCCAAATGATAGGGGGTTCTCCCAGTGCTGATGCACCCTGATGCTGTCCCGTGCCCTCAGGCTCCTTTTCCTCCTGCTCCCTGCCCTAACACAGGGCAATTCAGGTAAGTCAGAGATGCACAAGCCCCTGCCTGTCTGTGAGTGAGGGACAGGGTTTTTTCCCTATACTTTGATCTGTATTATGGCAGCATAATCTGCTGCAGCTGTGGAGTTTAGGCCGGTTCATACATACAGAGAAATCTTGAGAATGGCTTGGGAAAATTGTTAGCAGGCTGAAAGCAATCCAGCGGCTGGGAGATGCTGGCAGATGTGAGGATCCCCATCTCCTTCTCCCTCCTCCTCCGCCACCTGAGCTCACAGAGACCTCAGGCATCCTTTTATTCCACTTCTCTCCTGATGCTTCTTTGGTTGCTGCTGTCTGAGGATGAAGCAGTTATCAGTGTGTTGGCAGTGGTTGGGCTGTGTGCAGTCCCCGCTGCTTGCTGTGCCCCAGTGTGTTGCAGGACACAGGCAGACACAGCAGCTTTGTGGGCTGATGGGTGTGCAATGGCTCTGTGCTGCCTGCATGCCCCAGGATTACTTGTTTATTCTTGCTGCATTACATAAATAAGTAACCCCCAACCCCTGCAGACATTGCCTCACTTGATGTTGTGTGCTTATCCTGGCAGCTTTTGCACAGAAGGAATTAGACAGTTTGAGCTCTTAGTGCATTTTGAAAGAGGCTGTGGCCAACAGATGGTTCCATCCTGAGGTTCTTTTGGTGTCCGTGTTCTGTCTGCTCCATAGACTGAAGTGCTGTCAGTGCCAGTATCCTCTCCAGCACAATGAATGCAAAACATGAGCTTCCCTTGACCCAATGCAGCCACTGGCCAGCTCCTGTGTGTTTTCTACATCTACCTGCTTTGTTGGTACTTAAATTAGAAGACAAACCCCATTATGCTTTCTATTTCAAGGACCTGTTTCCTTTATTTCACATCACTCCATCTGCCCTGCAGTGAGGTCTCGGGCTGTGCAGCCTTTCTGTTCCATCTCTGTGTGATGTGAGGCTGAACCTCGGGTTGGTTACAGGGATGTAAGATGGTATTTCTTAGGCTGTTTGTATCTTCAGAAGAACGTGAACAAACATTAAAAAAATAAAAATCAGCAGAATCCATGTCATTGGGGCAGGGTGTGAACCAACGGGTTCCACCTGAGCACAAGGTGGGGATGTCTGAGCTCGGGCATCAGTGATGCACTCTGTTCAGTGGTCCGGGTTCTTTCAGCCACTGGAGAACCCAGAGTGGGATCTGGGAGCAGCAGCGGTGTGAGAAGGACCTGAAGCGCCCCATTATCATGGAAACGTTCTGTGCTGAAAGCAGTTTGATATTAAGAGCTTGAAGTGATTTTCCTGTTTGATAGCTTTATAGTAAACAAAACGTGATTAATTCCCTCCGTGACTCATTGCAGGAGAGGTTTTGAGTTTTATTACAGCCTTTTTCTATTGAATCCTTGCTTTAATTATCTAGGCAGAATAACAGAGCGCGGTAAGAACTCGCACAAGGCGGGGGGAAGGTCATAGAGATTGCTGTCCTTTAGTCCCTGCACAGAGCCTTTCTTTGCGTCCTTTCTGCCCTGACAGCACTGTCGGCTGCAGCGCATCCTGCCTGATGCTATCACTGCATCCTGTAACTCTAGAAACAATCCCAGGGGCTGAGTGAGCACAGCAGGTCGGGGGGGCTGGACAGCTGCTGCTGCCAGGAGCCTGTGCTGCCCTGGAGCAGGAATGAGGGGAAATGCAGCCCTCGCTACCAGGGCAGCCCCCAGCCTGTTTTCCCATCCTGCAGCTCCCCTCTTTTATGATTGGACCAGCTCCGCTTGGCTATTTGGTGGTGGTGCTGGAGGGGCTGTCCCATTGCTGCATCACTCACTGTTATATCCTCTGCTTCTTTTCCCTGGTTGCAAACGCATTGCTTTTCCCTGTAGCGTTGGCAGCAGTTACCTCTCAGGAGGTGTTTTTCTTGTCACTTATGGTTTCATAGACTCACAGTCTTCAAGGTTGGAAGACTTCTCAAGTAAGTCCAAGCCATCCCACTGTGCCCACCAGCCATGGCCCTCGGTGCCACATCTCCATGGTTTTCAAACGCTTCCAGAGATGGTGACCCCACCACCTCCCTGTTGTGAGGGCTCTTAGGGATGATGCTCTCTAGCTTGCATTTTCTGGGTCTTGCAGGGCTGCCCTGCATGCAGTTGGCCTTGGGGTTGCTGTCCTGTTCCACGGGACATGCTGCCTGTAGCTGACGCATCTGCTGGGTTCCCCAGGCCCATTCCTGGTTAAAAATGATAAAAGTTGCCGGAGTCCATGATGGTTCCTGTTTACTGTCCTCTGCAATTAACATTAATGTGAAAAATATTTCATTTTTGGAAAAGGGGAGAAATGGAGGAAAAAAAGAAAAAAAAATTGCAGCAGCAGATGGGCAAAATCTGCTCAATCCAAGCACCAGATACAACTTCAGGCTGCGAGTAGCCCTGCTGAAAGCAGTGGGGTCACTTCATTCACAGTGACATGCGTCGAAGCATCATCTGCTGTGAGGCTCAGACCGGGAGAGGTGCAGATTTCCTGCTAGTTTGTGTCTGATGATCTTGTAGCTATTCCTGTGCATCGTGTTTGGTTCAGGAAGTCAGCACTGGGTTAAGTCTGAGGTACAATTAATTTACATCATCTGATGGCACGTGTTTGGGACAGAATGCAAAACATTAAGTGATCTGCTCATGGCAGAGCCTGCAGAAGCTAAAGAAGAGTTCTCACTGCCTCACCTGAGGATTTGGGGGTATTTGTGGATATTTATTGAGAGCTCTGGGCGGTTGCTGGGGGTACTCAGCTCCCTAAACTTTGGGATTTTGCTGAACTGTTCAGTGCTGCAAGTGAAGAGTTTAATGGAATTTGGATGAATCTGCTCAGCCGGGCTGTACCACAGCACTGTGACCTTCTCCTCTGAGCTGTCAGGAAAAGGAATAAAAAAGAAAAAGGAACAAGGGTAGCATTGGGTCCTTACAGAAACTCAGCAGATTTTTCTGCTAAAGAAGGCAGGAACATTACAATTAGGGGCAATGTCAGAGGTAGGCAAATAGCCCTTGATTGTATGCAGATGATAGAGCTGGTTCAGTCTTTTGACTAGCGAAGCTTTCCTCAATTTGGGATATTGTGATCCTAATCAGAGACCTTTAGCTGTGCATCAAAGCCCCCATAGCTCGGGGCTGGCATGGGCTGATTGCAGGGCTTCCTGCTCATCCCTGCCCAGGTGTCCTTCCTGCCGTGGCCGACTGATTCCTTTTTAGTCCTCATCACCAAGGCAAAGAAATTTAATCCCAATATTGCTGCCAGCCCTGGAATGGACCCACTGGTTTGGAAATGTCACCCTCCTGTTGCCTTGAAATATCAGTGTGCACAGCCTCTGCTACCTGCTAATTTCACTGCCAACCTCTAACCCGAGGTAGAGCAGGCCTGTCATTAGCACATTCATCTGTGTTTAGATCTGTCAGCTTCCTTCCCCTTCTCCTCTTTTGTTTCTCTAATTACTTTGATTGCATCTCTGCATCCAGCTCAGGGCTCAGGTGGCTGCTGAAGCTGCGTGGTCCTGTGCCAGCGGCCCTCTCCTACAGGAGTACTTTAAAGAGGGAGAGAATTGGGTCTGGATTTTAAAGTCACAAAACCAGCCGTATGTAGGTTTGCAGGTGACTTTTCACTCTGTTTCAGAGCAGTGTCAGAGCCCAGTTCTCAGACCTTTCCTGGCCACAGTTCTTCCTTATCCTACATGTTTCACACTGGAGCAGGCAAGTGGCTGAAGATGGTAACAGAAATGTTTGGGAATGGGCTCCTCGCTCCACCATTGCACTCTTAGGGCTGAGGCCAGCTCTTGGGGTGCTCTTCCAGCCACACTGCCCAACCCTGTTGTCATCCATCAGTGAGGTCCTGAGCACCTCCTGCTCTGCTCCTCAGAGGTGTGTTTGGAAATGAATGCTTTCCATTTCCCTGGCAAGCTGTGCTCTGAGCGGCCCTCCTACTGTGCAGGTACCACCAGAAGCCATGTGGCAGCTAAAGAGCATTTGGTCAGAGCCCTCTCCTGTTGGGACGACATCTGGGCTCTGGGTGCAGATGTGCCATGAATTTCCAGGGTGATGCCTCTTCCAGCCTTGCACTTCCAACTGGTTCTGGTAGTGCTGTCCCTGTGCTGTAACCAGAGCTGCTGACATCTAGAGATAATAATTTGGCATGCAAGATTGAATAAAATATTCCTAATGCTGGTTTTTTTTGTGTTTGTTTTTCCAGGGATTGATTAAAATTCGAGGGGATCACTGCTGGAGAGACTTAACTTGCATGAATTATCACTATGAGGTGAGCAATTTGCACTTTAAAACTGTCTTTTCTTGCCTGCTTTGTTTTGGTGGATTTTTCTGTAGCCTTTTCTTTACTACCAGGCAGTTCTCCATGTTGGTCTTCTTTTATTGTTGCCTTCAGCCTATAGCCATGCTGTCAGCATTCATGTGCCAGCTCATTGATGCTGTTTTTCCCAACAACAGTCCTCAGAGAGCAATTTCTGTCCTCCCCCACTGCCATGGACTCTTGGGGATAAATGTGAACTGCACAGAGAACTCCCTTTGTAAAAGCAGGGAAAGGGAAGAACAGAAAGGACTTTCCCGTAGCACTGTGCTGCATGCTTTCTGCCAACATTTCACTTTATTCCAAAACTCAGACATATGCAGGCAGAAATAGAGCATCTCAGTGCTATCCAAGATGCTGAGCACTGGTCGTTGGCAATGCAGAATTATGCAGCTTTATCTTTCTGACATCTGTTCCAGTGATTGCGTTACGTTCTGATTATAAACTGCGGTTTGTATTCTGGCTCTGTTCTTTGATTTTAGGGAGAGGGAGCTCAGCTTCCTCTCTGTTTTTACCTATAGTTTTGCATTTGCATTTTGTATAAACAGAGATCAAAAGGTAAGAAATTGCTGTGTACAGGGACTCTCCCCTGAGGAAGTCCTGGCTCCCTACGAAATAAGCAGTACTGTGAGGGACAGTGCCTTACTGCAGTTAGTGTTGGAGCCACTGAGTCACAGTGCTGGGGATCTGTGCTCTGTGCCCATACGAGGAGCAGGGAGCACTTCACATCTGTGCACAGAGCTGCAGTGATCAGCCCTGATCTCTGGTGTGGGTTCTGTGCTGTGTTTGTCCCTAGGGGTGGACCTTTGGGGTGATGCCCTCAGTAGACCATCATCACGTCTGGAAACCATTTTCCCTTTCCAATTAAATCTGATGGATTCTGACTTCCCTGACCTGCAGAATGTGTTCCAAGGTGTTGCCTATGGATGGCTTTTTACAGGGGAGGCACTGAGCAGCAGCCTTGGGGATGCTCATACAGCATCTCCCTTTTCACAATTGTGTGATAAGAACTGCGTGTGTGTGCTGGGGACCGAGTTACCAATCCTGTCACAGGATCAGGATTCCTCCTTCCAAAACAGGAAAAATTCCATCATTTTTACTAGGTACCAGTACCCATCCTGCAGCAACCAGCCTGCATAATCCCCAAGACTTCAAATGAAAGCCAGAATCAGTTCTGTAACCCAGAAGGCTAATGAAGACCATTCCTATCCTACCCATAAGGCAGGATCCCCACTGAAGTAATTGTGAACAGGGGGCAGATCACATTATCAATATCAATTATTTTAATCCACGCTGAAGAAGCTGTAATAAAGGGAAATTGAAAGAGGCCAGCATTCTTCTACCAATGCTATAGATTCACCGGTTGAGCTGAGTCCTCTGCATGCCCTGTTCTCACAGTGCAGAGTGGAAATACTTTGGGGACCCTGGGCTTGGTATGAGGTGGAGGAGGAAGTCCCAGTAATTTGGGGCTTATTGAAGTCCTCAGAAGTCCACGTAATCTGGTCCTGGTAAAGTTTCGCTGTAGCTGGTGGCTTGCAATAGCCAGAAATTTGCCCATCTCCTTAAGTGCAGCCACATGAATCCAGTTGAGAAGGACAAGGGATGTATGGCAGAGAGAAAGCTGTTCCAGGTGGGTTACAGTGCAGGTCCCCAAATTCCAACCAGTCAATGAGAGAAAGTTGAGGGTGAGGCTGAAGATACCCCTGCAAGAGGAGGAGGCAGCTGCAAATCTGCTCGTCATTAGGATGATAAAACTGGGTATTGGATCAGCCGTAGTGGAGCTGGGCCAAAAGGAGTCTGTGTGATGTATGTTGGCCACCCCAGCTCTCGTGTTCCAGCCCGGAATTGCAGTCCAAAACCTACATGTGCTCCTCTGCCAAGAGAATTAATGAGAACACATGGCCTCCATCTCCCGCGTGCTGAGCGCGCCCCGCACTATTTATTTGCAGTAGGACCAGCAGCCATGCTTGTGGAAAATAACATTTCCACTTGTGTCAGGAGTCGTGTGTGAAATAGTAAAAAATTGTTACGGCTCGGGTAATTAAACGGAGCGTAATTTTCATCCCTTTTTCCTTTCTGATGTGCGGGGCCTTAGTCCAAACCTTTATGGAGATCTGTTCCCCAAATGAAGCCTCTCTGTGTTGAGGGCTTACGATCTGTGACGCTGTGGAGTTTGGAGAGGGAAATGGCAGAACGCATGGTTTACATAGGAAAGGTATTTTCCTACCAACACCCCTTGGATCCCTGAGGAGTCCGTGTGCTGCAGCATGGAGACAGACACTGATGGAGAGAAATTCAAGTGGTGGTGCCTTGCTACCTGCAGATGTGTGCTGGGCTGGGAGGTGCTGGGTGGGGGTCTGGGCTCTGGCATTCATTGGGTTCTATTTCTCATTCCTTGGCTTTGCAGCTGTTCCACTGCTGGCTGTGGTTAGGGGGCTGTTTATCCTGTAAGAAGTCCTGGTTGCAAGAAGATTTTGCGCAGTGGGACTTGATCGTGCTGCTGTTGACACAGAGAGAAGCTGCCTCTGGTTTGTAGGTCTGTTTGTCATCATTAAGCATTTCTCTGCTATGTACACGATGGTTTACAAATGCATGTGCAGTGGTTTACAGAATGCAGCTCGATTTCTGCTTCCACAGGAGCACATGGCACAGATCTGACCGCAGAGGAGCCCTCTGCAAAGAGCCCAGCAGCAGCCTGCAGCTACAGGAGGCTTTGGGTTGCTGCAGGTCTGCAGCTTGCAGGGTATTGCCTGGGTATGGGCTGGAGCAGCTTCCAGCCTAGGTAGGTACCAGGAAGGGGAACGCCGACCTGCTCTCACAGCTCCATCAGGCTTTCTCTGGCCTTCCCCGCTCTCATTCTGGGTGAGCTGCCTTGCTGGCACAAGCACAATGCCTTAACATACTCCAAATGGAGAAAACCCTTAGTGCCAGCCCTGCGTTTAGGACCTCCTCCCAGACCTGCAGCTCCCCAACACGCTCACAGCACCGAGCACCTTGCAGCCACATGTCTTTTTCACAGGGAGGTTTGAGTGGCAAAGGCAGGAGATGAGCGTTTCTGACTTGGACTTGCACCCAAATGGAGCCAGGGTTTGGGATGTTGGTGGTGGTCTTGGCAGAGTGGCTAAGGAGAAAATCTTTGGGCTTTAGAAACGGTGAAGTCTTACGTGGTTACATCCATCGCATCTCCCCGTACCCAGCATGGAGCTACATGCTGCGGGATGCAACCTGCGATGCGTTTTATGGTGGCTGCCAAAGTACTGTTGCTTTTTAATTACAGACAGATATCTCATAAAACCCAGCCACCAACTGGTGAGAACAGCTGCTGGAGCAGCTGCACAGGGAGCAGGGAGCCCCGCTGGGCAGCCGCCTTCATCGCCTCCTCCTTTCTGCTCTGTGCCATAACCCCATGGGGTGCTTACATGTGTTCCAGGGTCACTCTCTCTGAGCAGGTGCCAGCCCTGGTACACACCAGGTAGGGAACCTCTCTGTGCCCAGCCGGAGCAACTTGTATTTTATTTCTTTTAATGCAAAGAATTTAAGTGCAGTTTTGAATGATGCAGCTTTTATCAAAGAGTTTCTGAGCGTCATACAAGCAAGCAAACCTTCCACTGAGACAGGGATCATAGGATGGTATGGATTGGAAGGACCCCCAAGGTGAGATGGATGAATAAAAAAATAAAATAATTAAAATGCCCCTAAATCAGGAAAGTCTTTGCCAGCACTGGGAGTGAGTTCCAGGATTTCCTTCCTACTCTCGGGTTGCTCAGGGTACCCCCATGCAGAACCCTTCCAAGGACTGTGCTGAGCTGCTCAATCCCAACCAAAGGTGCACTTCAGTTCTCCTGACTCTGTCAGTGTTGCTGCAGTAGAGCTTTGTTCTTTGTGTAAGATGCTGTGCGCATAAAGGTCACTTCTTCTGATTTGTACAAATTATTGCTAATTATTCTGGAACTGTTTTTCTTAAATGGAGGCTGTCAGTCACGGCTGCAGCTTCCAGCAGCTCTCCAGTTCCTAGAGAAGCTCTCTGGAGCATGGTGTCTTTTGTGCCTAATTACAGGGCTGCTGACTGATAGCTGTGCTGATAAGGGTGAGAAATAAGGAGGCTGGAGCTGCTCTTTAAACGCCTCCTGATTTCCTTGCTCCCTTCTCTTCAGTGTATTGGATCTTGTTAGACTTTAATCTAGCTTTTTTTTCCTAGCTATTGTGAAGCAGAGAGGAAAGCTGTCAACAAATTACTATCAACAAGAAAACAGTTTCTGTCTTAGAATCATAGGCTGGTAGAGATGTAAGCTCATAGAATCGTGGGTTCTATGATATGAATTATTTCCCAGTTTACTCAGTAGAAATGCCATGAGGAGTACAGGTCCAGTAATGCCCCTGACACCATATCCTCACTTCACAGCCTGGAGGGCTGCAAGTAAATGCTGTATGCTCTGTACCTTAAGAATACAAAGTCTTTTTGAAATCAATTTTAGTTTGGATTGATGAATACTTGCTTTGAACTGAAATTTATTATCAGTTACCAACTTGAAATTAAATGGGTCTGTAATCAGAATAGCCCAGGCTATCAGCTGCATTGACAGAGAATAAAATAGGTGCAGCTATTTGGACAGGAGTTGGACTCACTGATCCTTACAGGTTCCTTCCAGCTCAGGATGTTTAGTGATTATGTGCGACTCTGGGTTTTAAAGCAGAAGGCAGTACGAGGGTGTGAGGTGTAAACAGGAGTGATCTCGGTGTTCAGCACTGGTGCAAACGCAGGTGGGGAACCCTGGCTGTGTGTACATTGGAGGCTGGAGCTGAGCAGTATGGGCACTGCGTGACCTCTCTGCTGCCAGTTGTGATTTCTTCATCTTTCAGTAAAGAGAATTTTGCCTTACGAAATCCTCGTGCTGACAGTAAAGCACTGATGCACACCGCGTGCTGCCAGGCGGCTCTTCGTCTCTGCGTGGGCT